CTGGTATGCTGCATGTGGAGATTTTAGGTCTGATGAGAGGTGTGAACGTGCGAGCAGTTTTAGTGTACGTAGTTTTTAAATACGAAAAGATACCGCCTTTTCAATGGAAAAAATGTCTACAATGGATTCTTTTGAATATCTCTCTGTTATCAAATGTCTTTATTTGCCAGGAAAACCACCAACGACAATTTTTGAGAAGATGTTAACATTGCTGAATACCCTTCTTATGAAACTTAAATACTGGATAAAAAAGTTGAAAGCGAGACTGCCTGTCCCGTCTAGAATGCGCTAGAGAAGGGTATCCAAAGGAAGTGTTTTCGGGCCAGTGAGGGTGTCATCAGAAAAGGCTACTTAGAAAATGGCCATACTGTCACTGGGATTTATTATTCGGCATTGTTGATGAAAGCAAGATCTACCTCAGCCTAGAAAAAACGATGGACGCTGCACAAAGGAATCCTCCTACTGCACACAAATGGTCCAGCAGAGAAGTTTGGCTACGAAATTCTCCCATATCTATCTTATTCACCAAATACACCACCCTCTCTTCTTCTTTGCGTCGCCCTACTAAACCACGGGGGCAGTTGACTGATGGTTCATCAATCTGCAGCGAAACTGATTTTACATGTGTGACCGTTTATCCTACTCAGTAGGGCCCTTTGCCTTCACGAAGCCACATTTCTATTTCGAAGGTACTCTATAGTATATTTTTATTCTGATTAAAGCATTTTCAGTTTTGATAGGAACTAATATTTTAATTTGGGCGGTTGGCAGCCGACGCCTACTTTTAACGATCTTAGAACCACCAATGAATCTTTAACGTGCAAAACGTAAACCGGAGACCTCCGAGATTTTACGCCCTTATCCGAAAAGGCTAGGCATTCGATCTTACCTACCCTAAGACCACGGGTGTGGCTGAAAGACAGCGTTAAGAATAAGACAGAGTATCGGTAGAAAGAAGTAAAGGACAGAGGAGCCCAGAGGAGGCCAGAGGAGGGGGGGGGGGGGGGGGCGAGGCGAGAAAATGAAGATGAAAAAATAGATGACACAACATGGCTCATCATCCGGAGCCTTGCCGACTGGCGTGGGCGATCATGGACCTCCACTTCACCCTGTCCTGCGCTGCAGCAATGGTGTCTGTTGTTCTTGCTGCTCCTAACCATGTTGTCATCTTGTCCAGTATTTTTTCCATCTCTCTGCCTCTGCCTCTCTTTCCATCGAACTTTCCTGTTGTTACAATATTCTCTAATGCTTGAATAGTGTGTCCGAAGAAATTTGCCTGACGTTTTCTTATATTCGTGATAAGTTGTTTTCTATAATTTGCTTCAACCAGGACTTCTTCATTTGTTTTTCTAGCTGTCCATGGGATACGTAGCATGCGTCTTAGGAATCCTAACTCTGTCGCTACAATTGTTCTTTCCAGCTGACAACATGACTAGAGAACAGGAAAGGAGATGAAAAGAGAGCATTAAATTGAAAGAAGAAGTTGGTTGTTGTTGTCGTCAGGTTTCCAACCTGGGACCCTTTGAATGAGAGGTGAACACCGTATCTTCAAACCACGAGAGCCTCTATCACCCTCAGACCTTTCCCTTTCTCAAACCTGAAAATAGTTACCAATGCTCAGTGTTTCAATACTGATGAATTTAAATAGATGGACAATTACACACCAGCAGGAGGTACAACTCCTTTCGAGTGAACCTGCACATATTATAAACCTCTACCCTCAGAAACACAATCATATAAGATTTAGTTCTTTCTTCTCTGTATTTTCCTTGTTCTGTATATTCCCCCCCCCCTTCCAAAAACCACCACCCGAGGGACAGGGGTCCGCCTCCAAAGCAGCTTATACTTGACTCATAGGGCGTTGAACCCACTAAACAAATCATTTCCCTCCACGTCTCTCTCCCTCTCTCTCTCTCTCTCTCTCTCTCTCTCTCTCTCTCTCTCTCTCTCTCTCTCTCTCTCTCTCTCTCTCTCTCTCTCTCTCTCTCTCTCTCTCTCTCTCTTTCTTTTCCCTCTCTCTCTTTCTGACTCTCCCCTCCCTCTCTCTTTTGCCCCATCTCTCTCTTACCTCTGTCTCTTTCTGGCTCTTTCCCCCTTTTTCTCTCTTTTCCCATCTCTCTTCCCTCTGTCTCTTTCTGACTCTCCGCCCCCTGTCTCTCCGACTGTCTTTCTCCCTCCCCCCATCTCCAACCCCTCCCCCTCCCCCTCCCCCCTTTCTCTCTCTCTCTCTCTCTCTCTCTCTCTCTCTCTCTCTCTCTCTCTCTCACTCTCTCTCTGTTGTCCTCCTCTGCCTTGTTTTTTTAAAATTTGTATCCGATTGATATTTGTCCTGTTAAGTGCCTGTGTATTCAGCCATTGGGAGTTCGGGAGTGGGCCTGATTTAACGCCCCTGAACTTACTTGTGATGGCATAAATGCAGCCTGCTGTTTTGATAAGGTTTTTTTTAAATGCCGGAGGAGGATTGCTGTTTTTGTTTCTCAGGAATTACACGCGATGCAGGGAACCGGGCTTTGGGTAAATTCCTATTTTTTTTTCAAAACTCTCTTTGAATCTAGCGTATGTGAGGTTCTTTTAGAACTAAAGTTGTTATTTTTTCTTTTGTCATTTGAGGACCGACATAACGTGTACACCCCAATCGGTTAAACCCAAAGTTTGATTTACTGCAAATTGAATAGTCAATTCCAAAAAATCAAAAGAAAAAAAAGAAACAACAATTACACACATGAAAAAAACCCCCAAAACCAAAACCACCCCCCCACGGGAAAATAAAGAGATTCCAAAGTTCATTTTTCTTTGCTTTTTCCACGGAAAAAAATTTAACACCACTGCGCTTATTTCAGAAACATACTGCATTGAAAGAGATTGTAAGACTCAACTGAAATAGTTAACACACTTCCAACGTAGTGGATATCTGGCTTAAGCAGGGTGTCATCAAATCTTTTTTCAAAGCAAGCCAAATAACTATTTTGTTTAATACAGTGCACTTTCACCCACACCCCTAATTTTAGGGTAGGTAAGATCTAACACCAAGCCTTCTCGGCTAAGTGCGAAAAATCTCGGAGGTCCCATGTGCATGTTACGCACGTTAAAGATTCCTTGGTGGTTCAAAATCCGTAAGAGTAGGCTTTGTCCGCCATCCGGTCAAAATTCAAAATTTCCTTCCAACTGAAAAAGTGTAATGTTTCCGGTGAGCTCATATGACCTTATGCAGGTGCAAGCGCCGTAAAACACTTATACCCCCCCCCCCACACACAAACAAATCAAACCAAAAAACACAAACAAGCCTGTTGTTATTGAGTGTAATATCCGTCTGTGTGTTGTGAAGTTGTATCTCTCTCAGCAAAGGTTGGCCCTGGCAGGCAGATTCGAAGCAGCCAGCCTTTTAAATGTTGGGAGCGTAATACGTCTACAGCCTCGTTATTGCACAATTACTTTACCCAGAATCTTTGTGCCTTTTCTTTCCGTGGCAGTGGGTTTGCTGCTGTTCTAAAATACAAACATGTGAGTGATTGAGGGGTTGAAGAAATAATAAATGTAGGCCTGCTGAACTTATAATGTGTACATCAAATTAAAAACTCTATCAACAATTACACAACGCATTAATAACAACTGGTTTGCGAGGACATTTACTTAAAGGGGGAAAAGGGTTGGAAGTGAATAAAATCCAGTAGAACTCTTTACTGTTATTACATTTCCAATGTTTATTATATGTTTCCATGGTGATTAAGAGCAACACAACACAGAAAAGTACAACAAGGAGATAAGAGTCACTAACTCACAGAACGGAACACCACAGTACCGGTACAAATAACAGTTGTAGAAATAGACTGTGTCCGCCGGAATGGGTCGATAGATTACAGACAGATGAATGAATTGTTAGGTCTCGGCAAAGAGACAGGGGCAACAAGACCTGGAAGAACCTAACATTTCTCTCTCTCTCTCTCTCTCTCTCTCTCTCTCTCTCTCTCTCTCTCTCTCTCTCTCTCTCTCTCTCTCTCTCTCTTTCCATTTGTCTCTCTTTTCCCATCTTTTCTCTCACTTTTTCTTCTCCCTTTAGCCATGTAGTTAGTGTTTGCTAGAAAAATATGGGACAGGAAAGACAGACTATATATATATATAATATATATAGATAGATATATAGATAGATAGATAGATAGATAGATAGATAGATAGATATATAGATATAAGAGAGAGAGAGAGAGAGAGAGAGGGGGGGGGGAGGGAGAGATAGAGAGAGAGAGAGGGAAGAAGGAAAAAATGAGATAAACAGACGGGCAGGCTTATAGATCAAACGACATACGAACGCACATACATATACCCCCCCCCCCCCCTCCCAACCAGAGAGAAAAGGGAAAGAGAGGGAGGGAGAGAGAAAGAAAGAAAGAGAAAGAGAAAGAGAGAGAGAGGGAGAGAGAGAGAGAGAGAGAAAGAGAAAGAGAGAGAGAGAGAGAGAGAGAGAGAGAGAGAGAGAGAGAGAGGGAGGCAGACGTACAAACAGATAAAGATACAGATAGAGACACCAATCGGTGGACAGTTTAATGCCGCCGCCCTATTCATACTGTGCCAGATTCCTGGAGTCGATACTATTCATGAAGCGCTCATAATGTTATGATATCGCAAATCTTTAGTCCCACATATCCATGCTTTAGTTGTGGTTGTCGCCTTTTTTTCCTTTAAGCGACCCGATCAATAAAAAGAACAGTTTTTGTCGGGGTGATGGGGGAGGAGAATCCTTATCTCATTCCTCAACAGACAACAGTACTCTCCGGAAATAGAGAACGAGGCCCAAGCGTTCTGTACGTCCACAAAGTGTAGACGAAAGAGGAAATAATAATTTTTCATCGACAGATAAACGGAATTGATAAAGAATAGATCTAATATTTTACTGCAATAACTATTGGAATGTATTCTTTTGGAAGAAAAAAGGAATAATTATAATACTGAGCAAGTGTGTCCCCTCATTTTAGCTGAAATCGAGCTTTTTTTCTCATTTTCTCTAAAGGATAAAGTATAAAGTTGCCTACTCGTAAAATCCGGAAAGAATTGTTTCCAAACGAGATAGAACAATAGCCTTCACAGAAGGAGTGCAAATGAAAAATCGATAGGAACTTCTAAGTTTAATTCTGTTCTCATTTAACGTTTCCTTAACACGCACTACACACGTGTAGTCTTGTACAAAGGAGAAAAAAAAGCTAACTTAGAAGAAGAAAAGAGTATCAGAACAGAAATATTGGTTTCGTAAGTAAAATTATGTTCTCTCGCCTTCACAGTCTCAACACAATCAAAAACAGGAACAACTGAATGATGAACGAACAAAGTCATATTATTACAATAATATACATGTAGAAGATGTAGTCCCCCCAAAGTCTGGTCTCTGGTAAAACAAAAAAAAGACTATCACTGTCTCTTTATTCAAATCATTACAACGCATTTGAAAGGTACTTTAGTGGGCATCTTTCGTTACCACAGTAAACTCACTTTTACTCAGAGGTTTCTGAGATTTGATATGCTTAATACTTTTGGTGCAAAATACACAGATTTCAACAAAATGTTCACAACCCAATTCACGTCTAAGTTGTTTTAGGCTCTTTGCCTGGCACTCAAAAGACGCAAAGTTTATTCGCATGGGTGGAAGATACTTTTTTCGTGTGCTCTCGTTTTTTACGCTGGCATGATGTATTCCACAAGCAGGCAGGAAGGCTCGAAGCAGTTAGCCTCCTGGTATAACACATACATAGGGCTTATGGGGGTGTAAAAACTTTAAAATGTACAAGAAGTCAATAAGTCAAGAAGTCACAATCAATTATATTCACAACCCTGTTTCCTCGTCCACATAAACTGGTCCAGACACAAGCAATAACTCTGTGTCGTTATCACACACGTAAGCACTTTCGTGAGGGCTGGACCAATGCACGCAGTTAGTGAGCCGGCTGGAGGGCAATGTTCGCACCGCAGAACTCACTGGCCTCACAACCTTCACGCATGACGAGGGCCCAGTGGACGGTGACGCTTGTAATGGCGTCCTCTCGTTCATTTTCGGCCCGGAGCTCTCTGTGGCTTTCGCGCCCAGCAATTCACTGTCGTCTGGGAAATAGTCTTCGTCGTCTTCTTCATCATCATCGTCAGCCAGATCGTTGGGTTGCCTGTCGAAACTGGGGTTGGTGAGCCCGTGCATGCACGTGTGTCCGTCATGTGTACTGGCGAGGGTCGTCTCTGTGGCTGAGTTGGGATCTGTCAAGGAGGGATTCACCTCTTGGTAGAGATAGAGGAAAACGTTAGCACAAAGATGGCTTTTCAAAGCCCCCTCCCCCTGCAACAAAATGAAAAAAAATCCCAGCAACAATACATTCCCAAAGAAATAAACAAACAAAGTAGCAGTAGCAACAACAACACCACCACCAACAATAAAAACAATAAACACTTGGTTCCAATAAACTATCTGCACAGAAACTCAAATATGACATTAGTAGACACAACACTTAGAACACGCAAGAATTACCCGAACGAAGGGGTGGAAAGGTTTGAGTAACATTGCATTAATCATGCAAATCATTAGCCAATTTCGATTTGCTACATGTCGCTCTTCAATTGAAACAAAACATTATAAAAAGGTGTTTGTATAATAATATTATAGTTCTAATCTAATTCTATACGGTACGTTCTGTGGGGGATTTCTGTCGCAGTTTTGTTTTTAGCTTTTGTTGACGAATTATCTGAACAGGATCTGAATAGAACAAAAGAAAAGTATTCTACAATTACGACAGATAGATAGTGGTTGTGGCTTTCATTTAGCTCCCTATCAACAGGGAGTTGAGTCCTTGTAAATAAATATATATATCTGTTTTTATCCTCTAGCCCCCTCTAGGCATAAAAAGGAATGGATAATTATGTTCAATTAACGTAAAGTGGGAGTCTGGTGAGGGGGAATTTTCCTAACTTTGTGTCGTGTAATAATTAGTGTGAACGAACATTCCTCTCTTTTAAAACATTGATGAGTATAATTTAGCTAGAAGTGCCCTTTATTGAACCGGAAGGCTGTAAACCCTGACCCTTCTCATTCAATGCATGACAATCCAGCATGTAGCGATGAGCACACACTGAGGGAAACAATTAAGTCACAAACGTATAAAGCTACTTTACATATTCTGTTCGTCACCCTAGAACACTGGGCAAATTTAGGGCGCGCATCTCCAATCATGGGCGTCACAGGAGGCAGATAGTGGACGGCCTCCTGGTATATCGGGGTTAGCTGTGAATATCCAGTAATCAAGCGCAGACCAAGAGGCAAAGATTACACTGGGCGAGGAGGAGTAGATCTAGTTTTGGTGGTTCTGATACTTTTATTATATACCTCAACATGCCCAGCGCGCAAAGTATTCATTGGGCGAATTGAGGCGCCCAAAAATAACCCCTTATCCTAGCCATGAGTCAATGGAGAGGATGTGT